TAGTTACTGTAGGGACGCTAACGCTAGCTGTGTAAATGCGACGCTCTTTGTATAAAAACTAATGCTGTCAAAATTATCGCGTTAACGGCGGTAATTCATTTTTTGAATTAATTGCGTTAAAATATTTAACGCATTTAACGCATGTGCAGAATGGCCCGCCCCATACATCCCACCAGTGGCAGCGCCAGGGTATGGCTGGGGTAGGCTACACCCATACCAAGAAATGGCTTAGCCCCACCATGAAAAATGATGTTAAAGTAAGCAAAATAAAGTCCGCCAACTCGCGCCGAGAATTGCACAGACAGCAGTTAGTAAGATTGATTTCAGTAGCCACTTGTCTGGAAATACCGAAGACTAGAAACGGTTTTGAAAACTTTTGTCACGTAGTGATCGTCTTCTCAATAGAACATCTTTGATAATGTCTTCTGGCCAATCAGAATCAAGATAACGGCGTGGTGTTGTTGCAGGAAGTCCCGACGGAGAATACTTTTGCTGTAGTACAGGGGTGCACATAACTGTTACGCAGGTTATGTGCGTAATCTGAAAAGTACACCATGTGCCTCTGAACTGTAGTGGAGTAGAAGCAGCATAAAGTGGAAATACTCAAGTAAAGTACAAGTACCTCTAATTGTACTTCAGTCCAGTAGGAACAGATGTAAGGCTCACCCTGTGCTCTGCCGGCTGGACGCTCAATCCTCCAAACGCCTGCAGCTGGTCTTCCTCTTCCTTCTTCCTCATCTTCTCCTCATCTAGAAAACAAAACGGAAAGGCTAGAACAAAATGAACCTAGCAGATACCACTGTATATAAAATAGAAAAAGATCGACTAGAGAGAAGAGACTCCCTCTGGACTTTGGGATTTTAGCCTTTGCAGACCATTCACATGCAGAGAAACCTTTAACACACTACAGGAGAGGGAAACCCCCAGAAGAGCAACATCTAATATGTATCTGTTCGTTTCAGTGTCTGCAGCTTGACTTATGATCAGTTCCTCACCCCTCTCTCGCTCCTCCTCGGCTTGTTTCGCTCGGATCTTCTCAAAGTACTTCCTGGCTCGGACCTCCTCGAAGCAAAGTTCAGATCCTTCACAAATCAGATCCTCTGTATTATACTGAGAAACCGTCTGAACGCCCGATCTCTGAGAGGAGGGGAGCATCCCCGAGTTCTCGGAGCGAGAAACTCTGCACAGGACGACACGTACACACGTTATTGCATTGTGAAGGCAGGTTGACTCATTCAGCACCTTTCAACGTGCTTTACAAAAGACATTAAGAGCATAAAACACATTCAAAAGATATTAAAACACGAGAAACACATGAATACAAGTTACAGTGCGACACGAGTAACACATGAATACAAGTTACAGTGCGACACGAGTAACACATGAATACAAGTTACAGTGCGACACGAGTAACACATGAATACAAGTTACAGTGCGACACGAGTAACACATGAATACAAGTTACAGTGCGAGATGTGAAAAGCCTTCAGCCTGGATTTAGAGTTGCAGCGGAAACACATTATAAACATTCAGATAATAAACCATGAATAACTTGTATAATAAACTCCGTTATACGGCTCCTAGAGTATTATATATGTTTGTATTGCCTCTATCTTCTAAAAAAACATCTTGCCATCATTCATTCGTCAAATCACAAAACGTCTCATCTTTGTTTGCGGGTTTTTAGGAACACAGATGTTTTTCACTTCACCCTCTGAGGTCGAGTTCTCCGCACTCTCGCGGGGATATCTCCACAACGGAGCGATCTGAATGTTCACTTTCAACTGCACGATAAAGCCCAGCGCCACACCTTCGTCACACATGGTGCCGCTTGTTTCTGCCATTTTCAGGCGCTTTGTAATCTATTCTAGAAAAAATACGTTTTTTATTTTCTTTCATGTAGCGTATAAACAAACAATGGACGTCTTTTATGAACATTTATCCATTACGCAAGTAGACCGAGATGTTTTAGGAGTTAGATGGAGATTATTAGATTTATTTTGTACTTATGGTCTCATAACTATTTCCATGTGGCATCCCTGTAGCATACATATGCTAATAGCTTAGCTTGTTATGCAAACAAACATGTATATTACTTGATTGTGCAGCACAGGGTTCATAGCATAATAGCATCTTTACAAAAAAAGCCCAGGCGAGCCAAACATGAAAAAAGAGCTTTGACCTCAGAGAGTTAACACGTTCATGGCGCTTTGGTCTCTGCATCAAAAACACAAAAACACACGGGACAGAAAACAGATGTAAAAACAGAGCGTTACTCACGTAATGGAGGTTACAATCCCTCTTGATGGACACTCAGCAGACGCCTGCAACACAGAATCAGATCATTACCATTAGAGCAGTGGTTCCCCACCTTTTTCAACTCAGGGCCCACTTAAGAATAAAAACTCTTAATCAGAGGCCCACATTCAACTATAAACAATACGGACGCTAAATAAAGTTCTGGTCGATTCAGAACATGTGACACGTTGTTAATCCAGTAGAATAGACTGCTGTCAAGGACTGTAATGACCGTTGATAAGGACTGTAATGACCGTTGATAAGGACTGTAATGACCGTTGATAAGGACTGTAATGACCGTTGCTAAGGACTGTAATAACCGTTGATAAGGACTGTAATAACCGTTGCTAAGGACTGTAATAACCGTTGCTAAGGACTGTAATGATCGTTGCAAAGGACTGTAATGACCGTTAATAAGGACTGTAATGACCGTCGCTAAGGAATGTAATGACCGTTGCCAAGGACTGTAATGACCGTTGATAAGGACTGTAATGACCGTTGATAAGGACTTTAATGACCGTTGATAAGGACTGTAATGATGGTTGCTAAGGACTGTAATGACCGTTGCTAAGGACTGTAATGACCGTTGCAAAGGACTGTAATGACTGTTAATAAGGACTGTAATGACTGTTGCTAAGGACTGTAATGACACTGTAATGACCGTTGCTAAGGACTGTAATGACCGTTGCTAAGGACTGTAATGACTGTTGCTAAGGACTGTAATGACCGTTGCTAAGGACTGCAATGACTGTTGCTAAGGAGGATTGAGAAAGGAAAAGAGGTTCCAATAAAAAAAAATCTTAATAATAAAAATCCAAATGTTTCTTTATTTTTCAATATTGCGCTAAATATCGTACCGTTTTTTGGTATCGTTACATCCCTAGTAACGACCGTTGCTAAGGACTGTAACGACAGTTGATAAGGACTGTAACGACCGTTGCTAAGGACTGTAATGACCGTTGCTAAGGACTGCAATGACCGTTGCTAAGGACTGCAATGACCATTGCTAAGGAGGATCGAGAAAGGAAA